TGAAAGTGTTCGGTCTCCCATTTTAAACAGCGTTTAATACAACGTATTAAACATCGTTTAAATCTAAAACAACAAAAATACTTATAAATATATATTTCGATAAATTTTATTAATATTATACAAACAATTGAATTAATAAAAATAATATAATTATCACAATATAAATATGTTCTAAACGAAGTTGTCACCAATTATCAAATTTATTAAGTAATTATGGTAAATAAAAGAGATATAAAACAAAAATACTTATTAAATTCAAGCATTGACCCTCTAGGACGTTATGTTAATGCTAAGAAGGGAAGTCATAAAACTTATGATTCTTATCAGGATTATTATTATGACCATCTTCCAGATGTAGATTTTGATCCAAAAGATATTCTTTCTGGAGAAGATTATAAAGAGATTTATCAAACCATGATTGATGATATTAAACAGAATGTCGATAAATGGAAAATTGAACCAGAAGGAACTTTGACCGTAGTTAAACATAATTCTGGCAAAAAGCATTATAAAGAAGGATTTGACAAAGATAAATGGGAGGAAATTGAAAAGTATTTAAAACAATAAATAATATTGATGATATTTTTAACTGTTATCTTATTAGATTTTATTTAGTAATTTTACTCTCATGGATTGTTATATGTCAATATTTGGAAAATTTTGTATTAGTTTTCATAGGTTATTAGATTTGAAAAGTAAAATTATTATGTGAGATGGTATGGTACGAATCACAATTAAAATATCAAACTAATAAAAATTAATAATTATCACAATATAAATAAGGTAATTTTTTAAAAATTCTTCAATAGGATAAAATGATTCAAATTTTAATAATTTCAGCTATTATTTTATTTTCATATAAATTCTATAATATTTTTTTACTATATCTTTTTTATAAAAAACAAGGAATTGAAGTTTTGGTATTTGACGATGTGAAAAAACATATATCTAAAAATCACGATTTTATTGCGGTTTTGTCAGGATTATCAATTCAACTTTATGGCATGAATAAAAAATCATGTGAAATGATAAATGGACAACATGGAATTAATATAGAAAGAAGAACTTTTGCACCATTCATTTTTCTAGGATTTAA